GTTACAAAGTAGCATTTGTTTACTTTTCGTTACCAACTGTATAAAATGCTAGTTTGTTTTAAATTTCAACTAATTATGGAAATTTTTGTTTACAATTTGTTGAAATAAACAATACCTTTTCAGGTGAATATGCGATAATTTTTTCCTGAAAAAGTAATAAATAATAATAAATTATATAATTTGTTTTATTAATTATTATTTCTGAAATAAATGGCATAATCATTATTAATTTTTATATTTTATTTAAGGCATTTATTAAAAGCTGAAGTCCTTTTTTTTTTCATTGACGTTAATTTTCGAACAATTTCAGATGCTAGACAATGTTTCTTAAAAAATCTGTAATATCATGTGCTTTCCAATCTTAAAGTTTATATTATTGATACTTTAGTATATACCCTTAGAATAACAGAACCTTCAGAATAACACCAAATGAGCGAGTGGCGCCAATTTCGGTGTATCATCTGGCAACCCCTTTGGACAAAAATATGACGGCAGCGCATGCGCTCTTGGATATTGTCATCACTCTTTTCAATACAGGCACTCTACCGATAACCATACACGCCTCGCTACAGCCGTCTATTTATTCGGATCCATCCGCAGTTCAGAGGGCGCTGCTCAGCATACGCATGCGCTACGGGTCTGAAATTCTAATCATTTGCATATTATGCTCTACTTTGCATTTCCTGAAAATTTCAGCTCACTCACATAAGTCCCTCATGGTGTTGCAATTTTCACAAACATGAGTTTAGCTTTGTATTTTCACATCACGGACGCGAGCCCCCATTATCTGTAGGGGCTTGTGGAGCAAGGGAGAAAAAAAAAGACAATAGTTTAATAATGAAACTTAACATTTAATAAAAATGGAAAAAAGAAAGAAAGAAGTTTAACAGTGATATCATGAACGGTGAGAGTTGCCTACACGCAGTGTTGCAGGAACCAGAATGAATTCTAAATTAGATTGCTCTATAGAAAAGAGTTAAGTTCATTTAATATTTGGGAGTTTTCCCATCTAGACATTGTGTCTCCATGGACAGTCAGGCGCCTTTCAATGAGGAAGTAGATGATGCAATTCACCCAACTATTACATATATATTTTATATTAAATGTTAAATAAGTCGAGAACTATCAATATGTCAAACAACAGGTACATAGTATATTCTTATATGGAATTTTTGTAATACTAATTTAGATAAAGACAAATAACGAAACTAAAATTTGTTATTTAAGTTTAAATACTTTTATCATTTTATGGTGACTCACTAAAATTTTAATTGCATGCATTGGTTAAATAAATAATTATTGCAGCAGAAAAACTAGGACCCCCATTTGTAGAGCATGTATCAATATTGATATTTGTTTTAAAAATAAAACAAAATATTTTATTTCCATCGAAAAAATAATTAGAGAATACTATCAGATAAATAATAATTAAATATCAGAATAATAATAAATAAATATCAGAGAATAACACTAAAACCATAAAGAAGTTGATTAAAAGATGAATTGTACACCCGTGTAGGGATCGATATACATATATATTATATATGTGTATATATTTAAATAATAAATATATATAATATATTATTATTTAAGTAAATAAATCATTATATTATGTATAACATTAAAAAAATTGTTAGTTTAGTTGTACTGTTTTTTTACTTCCTATTCGTCGCTGAACAGCTGACTCTATTTTTGGGTTTACAACTACTAATGTTCAACTCCGTAGCCTTGTAATTTTGAACCAATCCAGAAGACAAGGAGACTCCTGAATCAGTACCCCCAGAGGTATTGATTTGTTACGGGAACATGGAGGACTTTGCGACTCGACAGATTTAACGTGCATCAATCACCATTTACTACACGGGGAGTCTTCGGCCATCTGGGATCGAACCCACGAGCTCTTGGACATGGGCCCAGTGCCCTACCAACCAGGATATCCCGGGCTTTGTCCTGTTATTTAAATTTTTTTATTGTTATAAGAAATATCAATAAAATTTTATGCATTGATTAGATTAATTATAATCACGCAATTTATATGACAGGCCCCCATTGTAAGGTATGTATATATTTTAGGAAAACATGTTTCAAAAATTCAACTCAATATTTTTATGACCGTCGTTGAACAGCTGTTCCAATTTTTGGGGTCTACGACTTCTAGTGTTCAACTCTGTAACCTTGTAATTTTGAAAATTTTAATTTGGAAAAATTTTGTTTGGAAAAATTTAAAAAAATTAAATAAAATATATATGTATTATTAACTATTTTTAAAGTAAAGCATTCCCACAATAGCCCATTGAGGACCAGGAGGTTAAATTGCTACAATTTCGTGACCAGCTGCCATAATAGTGACAAAATATTCCTGTACAATGCAACCCCAAGATATGAATTGTTTGCCAAAGAGGTGATCCCCTTACCAGTTCACCTTTGAACAAGTTTTCAGAACCTGAACAATAGACTGACTATCTCTACCCTAATATCTCCTCTAAAGTAAACCCAGCCTTATTTTATACCTGGAAGGAGAATAACTAATATTTTAGCATGGAAAACAAAAAATGAAAGACATTAACACTTATTTGTTAATATTTTTGAGCAAGGTATGGAAGCATAAATTTTCCTCCACTTCCACAAGCCAGCCACCACTTTATGTAAAATAAAATAAAAATTGTGTACGATTGATAAAATAAATGTCCATGCTAAAAATCAAGTCAAGTTTGTTTAAAAACTTTCACAAAACTTTATTTATAATTAAAATTTTACATTTATGTTTAATTTGCAGGTTATATTGAAATTCTACATGTACTGTATTAAATATTGCACTTCAATATACATTGAATACAAGGCTTCAATGTTTTAAAAAAATCTCAGTTCATATTTGAGTAGTTTAAAATGGAATACTGTGTTGTAAGTAGTGAATGTTTCTAATGCAGTCAAACATTGGTCAAGTAAATATAAAAGAAATTAAAATACAGAGTCAATCTAACAATGTAGTTAGCAGTCATGAGAGAAAGTCTTGGCTTGTGGTTGAATGAAGTACAAAACCACTCTCTGTGTTAGCTGGAGTGAAGTCCCCATCCAAATAGTTAGGGGCCGGACGGCTTGAACCTCGGCATCTGCAGATATCTTGTAATTCATTTAGCATTTCTGCTAATATCATTCTCTAATAAAAAAAAATAGAATTATTAATACTTTAAGTGTCATACATAAATATATTTGATTACAAAAGTAATTTCTGTCTAGTAATACTGGAAGTATTAAAGACATTGTATAACAAACTTAATTTTTGTCTATTAATACAGGAAGTGTAAGTTATGGACATATTATATAAAAAGTTTAACTTCCATCTATAAATACAGGAAGTGTAAGTTATAAACTTATTGCATAAAAAATTAATTTTCTGTCATCGTCTATTAATAAAGGAAGTGCTAGTTAGAGACTATTTGAATAACAAATTTAACTTCTATCTTTTAATACAGGAAATTTTAGTTATAATCAAATTGTACAACAAATTTAGCTTCTGTCTATTAATACAGGAAGTTTCAGTTATAGAGATATTGTATAATAAATTTAACTATTGTCTATTAATACAGAAAGTTTTAGAAATAGATATATTGTATTAATAAAATAATTCAAATTTTTGCTTACTAAGAACAGAAATGAATATATATAACATATTGTATTAACAGCTCCTCATTACTGCAACCCTTGCTAATTGCAATTGCAATTGGGATCTAATGCATAAGATCCTAATTGCAATTCCATAGACATAACTTTATTTTAACACCTATTTTAGAGACTGCTCTGAACTATTTATTATTTTATTTTTTTATTTCTACAAAGTTGTTAGCAATTTAAAATATGAAGAAATACCGCTTTTTATTAATTTTAATAAACTAATAATAATTCTAAGTTATCCAGTGTTATTTATAAGCCAGAGAAGAAAAAAAATTGGGATATTTTATTTATTCTTTTTACCACTGAAAGTAAATTAACCATGACTTCCACTTCATTTAGTGGTATATAACATCTATATTTACTTAACAAAGTTCTTACAAAAAATGTGTGTTATAAATGTTAATAGTTGTTGGTAGACATATAAATACTCATTTCAAACAACATAGCTAGAAGAGAAATGGTTTTCTACAAGTTTTTTACCTCTTCTGATTATGTGATTAGAAACTAAAGACTGATACTAAAAGACAAACAGAATGAGTTTTATGTCTGCGATTTGAAATTAAACAAATATTAATTTAAAAATATCTTAAAAAGGTACTCAAGAATCTCAAGATACCAAAGATCGTTCTTCACAAAAACATATTATTAAGAGAATAATCTCCATTCTTTTTAAATGCGCATAAAATATTACATTTAATATTACACTGCCAATATATTTAACAATAATTATGAATTTACAAAATTGATACTCTTTGATTTGAGACTTGTATTTTTCAATTTAAACATACATATAAAAATGCAACATTTGAAATATTTACAATAAAAAGAAATGACTAAAAATAAAGTTGATTAATTCCTAAGAGTAAAAAGTAAATAAAATCAAAACTTTAATATATAGTAAACAAAAAAAGCAACATAATAAATAACTTTTGATCCAATGATTGGATCCTCATGGACAAGGACTCAAACTTAATAGATCACAAGAGTGACCTCAAATATACAATATATAATACTTTTAAAATCAAATAAATCAGATTTAAAAACACAACTTTTTCAAAATTCAATAACTCAAGAGCTATTCGACGGATTTTGTTCAACTTTTTTATTTTGAGATATCAAATTGCATTCTTTAAAATGATGTAGAAATTTTTACACCTCATAATTCAAAATTTTTTCGACTATTATTAAATAAAATAGAAAATTATAAATAATTATAAAAAATTATTTTTTTGCATGGAATTATCTTTGAAAAACAAATTTTATAATTGCTTCATTGATTCGCTTAAAAAGTTTTCAAGCTATGACGAAACATGCATAGTGTAAAATTAACACTAAGGGTTCCAAACTTCCAATCATGCTTCTGATCAAACTATTGAGACCATATTTCAAAGATTGTAGCTAATTCCCCATATTTTGAGGGTCAGTAAAATCTGTCAAAAAAAAGGAATGTTTATTCAGAGAAATTATATTTTTGTCTGATTTCATAACTCGATATATTGTCTCCATTAATTAATTAGGTTGTTTGAGATCACCCCTTCCAACCATTAAGATTGAGTCTTCGTACATGAAGATCTGATCACTAGATCAAAAATTTATTCAGGGTGTTCCATATTTTTTTTTTGGGGGGGGGGACTGTACACAAAAAAAGCTTTATTCTAAATCAAAGGGCCACATTAATGTTTCAGGAGCTTCTTAAAATAATTGTAAACATAGTTTGTTAACATAGTTTGTAACACAATGAGCAATAAGAAAATTTATAGTAAAATATTATAAAAATATTAATTTGTCCAAACACAACTGCTAAAAGCATACTTTTTGCAGTGAATCCTGCACATTTTAATTTTCCTTTTACTATAATAAGATAGATTTCACTGGGGAATAAATTTTTTGTTGAGTTTATACAAGCACTTAACCCCTTAACTGCCGCGGGCGTATATATACGTCTCGGCCAGACGATGTGTTAACTGCCGCAGGCGTATATATACGCTTTCCCGAAGTACGAAGCTTTGCATTGCGCTGCTATAAATAGAACTACACCCCTACTTCAGAATACAGTAAAATGACCTTGAAAGTGTTTGCTTTGCAAATATATTACTAATTTCGGAGGAGGGGGAATGGGAAAAGGATGTTATGGAAAAGTGATATCGTATTAATCGTTTGCTTGTCTCTTTTTGAGTAAGGTCGGGTTTATTCTTTTTTCGATTTCATTTCCCGTGTGTATTTGGTACTTTTTATTCTTTCCATCAACGCCTTCAAATGCATCGCGAAAATGTGCTGTTTGTTCAAGAAAAAAATTCGTCGTGAATCCCGCTATCAATGCAATGAATGTGATGTTGGTTTATGTGTACAACCATGTTTGAGGATTTATCATACAACAGCTAAGTTTTAACATCTTTTATATTGAATTTTTATTATTTAATTTAAATTTTGTATTATCTTTCTTTCCTTTTTCTTGTCTTGTAAAAGTAAACTGTTTTTAAATTGCAACGCGTGCATCATTTTACCCCAAAAAACACCGCGTAAGAAAGTTCACTTGAGCGAAAAACGGTGGCACTGGGGAGTGAATCACGTAAATTTTTCTCGGCAGTTAAGGGGTTAATCTTACTTAATTCAGGTGTACAGATTTCGATTTGATATTAGTTTTGTTCCGAAATTTACGTATTTTTCTCAAAATGGTATTTTTAGTTCAGTTTATTTTTTGTCTGAATGTACAAGCTCATAAAGAGCGTATAGTAATGTAGCCATATATATATATATATACTTGTCTGCTCCTTTGAAAATAATACTTAAGGCATAAACCATACAACTTCAATTTAGCGCATCATAAACTGAAATGTATTATCAACTTCCTCCTACTATGCTGTGCAAAACAACGAAGTGAGAACACTTAATAGACACTCGACTGAGTATTAAAAAATCCTTGTCTGGACAATATTATGAAATTGCATAAAAACTGTAACTTTTAGAGAAAAACCAATTTCAGACTTGAAATCAACAATGTGAAAGTATCTAAGATCTGTTTAAAAAAATCTCATACTACAAAAAAAGAAACTCTTTCCCCAGTGTAATCTACTAGACATCCATAGCGCCAGCAATACTAGTGCTGTTTTAAAACAGTTTTGCAGGATTAAATATTAGGTTTAAAAATAGTAATTTGCTATAGAATTATAAAAAATATAGAAAAAAAACATTAAAGGGTGATTATTACAGACTATCTTGTATCATAGAATTTGAAATAAGTAATTTAGGTTTTAAGAATGAATGACAAAATCATTTCTTACCTTTTATATTTGAGTCACTAAGAGAAAGGCTTTGCATGCAATAGAAATAATTTGTTACAAATGCATAAAATGAAGAATGAGAAAAATAATTTTATTTATTCTTATAATTTATAAGTATTAATGATACCTATTTTGATAATCACATTCAGAGGCATAGCTAGGCTTTACAGTGCCCATGGATAAACTCAGTTTTTATGCAAACTTACAATATAGTGTAAAACGTTAACGAAAAATTTTCAATAATATTTTAAGTTTTAGATAATGTAAATATTTAAATCTACCGCACTTTCTTTTTTTTTTTTTTTTTTTTTTTTTTTTTTTTAAATTTTGATGAATATGATTTAGCAGCTTTACATAATATTTTTTAAGAGAACATAACTGAATAACTTCAAAATACTGCTACTAGATTTGGTTTAAAATTTTACAGTGTATTGTAGTGTACTAATGTGCACTACCCTACAATAATGGTAGAAACACTTTCAGCTCTTGACATTTTTTTAAATTTCTCAAATACTTAGAGGATAATTTCATAACTTTATAAGTATTTAGATCATGTAAATTCTCATACTTAGCAATAAAATTTAAGGCTTTCAGAGGTTTGAAACACTGGCAATAAAGTAAGAAGAAAAAAACGAGTATTCTTAAACATTCTTCTCAGAAAATATAGCAATAAGCTTGTAACTTGCATCAATTACTTTGGTTGTTATTTGTAGTAATTGCATTAAATTTTGTAAATGTTGGTTAAATATTTATGCTGATATGAATATTTTTATTTAAAAAAAAAAAAAAAATTTTTTTAAACATTAAAAACATTTAACAAAATTAAACAAAATTTTAGAGCAATTCTTGATAAGTAAAAAACTAATTTTAAAACTGGAAAAAATTAGATATGAGCATTTAAAGCACAGAAAAAATTTAAAGAATTTTTTTTATTATTTTATAAATATTTTATAATATTATTTTATAAATCGTATTTAATAACCGATTTGAATAACTTGAAAATTTGAAATTTTTCTAGCAATTTTCTAAGTAGTTTTTGTTTTTAGTTAAAAAAAGCCCTAAATATTAAGGGGGTATCAAACAATCTTATTTTGTACAATTTATTAATAATGACACTGACAGCATGGGGAATCCTAGCCACAAAAGTGAGTTTTTTTAACATGTTTCTTTTCTTTATACCATCACATTTTAGTGTATGGACATTTATTGCAAGGTATTATAATTTGTTATTAAATTTTGTATTTAAATAAAGTAACAAATTATTATCACACTTCAAATTATATAAATATGAAATGAAAAACAAAATAAATTTATTTTAACTCTATAAATTAATTGGATTCCCTCATTAGGTTATGATCAGTGTATTGATTTAATTCAAGCTCGATATGCAATATATTAGTGCATTTCCATATTTCAGCAAACATTAATCGCAAATGAACTTTACCAATTCAATAGAAAAAATAAATAAAAAAGCCTATTCGCAAATGTAAAAAATTAGATTGTTGCAAAAATCCTAAAAGAGCAAAAAAAAAATTAATCATTATGTAAAATAAAGAAAAATAACAGGATAAAATCCAACAAAAAGGGAATGATTTTTAATAATGAGCAAGAAATTGTGAGAAATAGTTTTGGGCAAAAATTGGTTTACTAATGTTTAAATATTAATAGCCTTATTTATGATCATATTTAATACTAAAAAATTTAATAATACTTTTAAAAAAATTTTAATATTTAAAAATTTTACCTATAAAATAAATTCACTTTTTCTTTATTTAGGTGCAATTTTTAAAAATTATTAAAAAATTTGCTAGTATCAATCGAGTATGAGTATATTCGAATTAAGATCAAGTGAGTTGAAATGCAGAAATGGGTGGTTTGAAATTTCTGACATCACTCACTGAACAACGGCTCATCTTAGGAAATTTCTGACATCACTGAACAATGGCTCACTCTGTAGTCCATAAAAATGCATAAATTGTGCTGTACAGCTGTACTCTTACAGCTGTACAGCACAATTTATACATTTTTATGGACTACTTAATTTTGCAGTCACATAATTAAAAAGCAACGCATTGAAACATAGAGCTAAAAAAAAAGAAGCATTTTCTGACTTACACGTTCATCTCTTGGAATCTTTTTTGTTCTCCAGATGAATTCAAAAACTGCAATTATCGCTGCCATTCCTAACCCAGCCAAAAGAACAACAAAAACACCACCTACGTTAGGTAAACCTAATTCACTGGCAGAAGAAGGCTTTTTATCATCGTCTTTACATGTGGAAGGATTTTTCCACCATTTCTCTTTGAGCTTGTGGAGAAAGCCTTCTTCTTGTAACTTCAAGATTTCACTTGAAATTAAAGCTCTATAAGGCGAACCTATTAAAAAAATTTACAAAGTTCATTAAAAAAGATTAAACCCACAGTGTTCCATAATTATCAATCCTTATCAAAAATGAATTACAAAATGTATACAAATTAAAAATCACAAATTAGCAAGGAAGAAACAAAACACTTTTGAACTCCTCTCCGTTTCCTTTACCAATCAAACAGGTTTAATTTCTTTCTTCAGTCCTGTCTTTCTCAATTGTGATTTGTTAGGTATCAATAGTATTTCTTTTCTTCACGCTTTAATATTATACATTAATATGTGATCTTCAATGCACATACTTTTTTTAACTCACTTTTTTTAACAAACACTCTTATATTCTCTCTGCATATATTTTTATGTATTTTTACAAACTGCTTCTACTTAAATTGTTTATAAGTAAATCTACAAAATATTCCTAGAAATTTCTGTATATGCTTTGAAGAATATTCTTCAAGACAATATAGATTGTTAGAAAAATCAGAGCAATATTTTACAGACCAAATAATTTGTTTTTCTTTCTATTATTCTTTATTGCATTTATGTAACTGAGAAAAATTAACTTAAATAACAATTCTTCATGGATTTTTCAGATATATCAAAGGGTTATGAATTTTGCACCCATTATATGATATAAAATTTGAAAAATATTTAGGCCTTGTGAAGGATCTAAGGTTGTCTTGTTTCAACTTTGCACCAGAAGTGACAAAAAATTCTTAATCAATAATCAATTTTATTTTCAGAGAAATTAAATGTTGTCTTTTAACTATGAGATTTAAATATGTGTTTAGTCAATAAAAGCTTTTTTATGAATATTTTTTTATCACTAAACTGCAATTAGGTAAAAGTAAAATTAAAATCATGTATGTAATTCTTTTTCAATAGCTTAAAGTAACTTATACATTTTCTAACAATTTTCTTTGAAATTTTGTTTCTTTCCATTCATATATAAGACTTCTAATGAAAGCTGTATTGCAACCTTCAATAAAACAAATAGTCTAATTGGTATTAGATAGTAAATTTAAAAATAATAAGTTTCACATTCATAACCAAGTTAATACAATTATTCTTGTTTGATAAAGATCATCTTTACGGATCCCATTTACAAGATCAGGCATGTGGCATCACTCAAGGAAACTATATTATTAATTCAGATTCTCCTAGACTGCTTTCAAGCTGTTGTGGGAAGGCAACTTTGAGACAGGCCTTGCCTAGTTGTTTTTTCCATGTAGCAAAGAAATGCAAGGAGGTGACTTTGTAATCACTATTTCATAACCTGATTTTTTTCCCCACCAAATTACTTTTGCACCTGAGGTGTGGATTCTTCTCATAGAAGTATAGTACATATCATTATTAAAACTATTATAACTCATTCATTTGAAAAGTTTGAGACAAACTAAATTTTCAACTTTTGAAGTGATTACTTTTCTGTTGTATTGCATTAAAATAATCAGACTTAATTGAATTATAAAACGCAATGTCTTTTACTGCTTTTGAAAAAATTAATTTTAAATTTTTATTGTTACAGAAACATTCTTTTTTCTCATTATACATCACTGTAACTGAATTTTGTGTGTATTTTGTTATTAAAACTAAAAAAAAACTTAAAAAATAAAATTCCAACAGTGACTTTTCTTTTCTTTTATAAAAAAGGCTGGGTGGTTCAGAATCCAATCTAAGGTAATGCCCCCCACTGCTGCCGCGCCGGAAAAGTTCACAAAAAGTTGGATGATGTGGTATAGAGGATAGATAATAATTACAATATCTGCCCTCTAATTTAAATTGCGCTACTTTAGTCTGTGTTTCATTTTCAGGCCATTACTTAGGATGAATGCTAGATCATCACCATAGCCCAAGACTAGGATTGCAAGTTAAGAAACTGTCTCATAAAAAACATTTAGAGTTAATGTTTTTCCTAATATCTCCAAATTTTTTTAAATGCTAGGGTTTGCTCAAAATTGTTTCAAATATGAAATATTTCCTTTTTATTAGAAAAAAAAACATATTTAAACAGCATTTAGTGCGTTTCTGAAACTTCAAAATTGATAATGTAAAACGGATAAAAAATGTATGGGCAAAATGGTTCAGAGTTTGTCTAAATCCCGTCAAGTAAGAAGGTCTTTCTATCCTTTATATTATAAATTAATAAGGTTAACATATAGTTCAGTATATAAAAAGATAATAAAATGAATTAAAAGGTTACTTAACCCCTTCTTAACCAGAAGATTAACCAAAATGAGGTGGTAACTCAGGCTATTACCCTGGACAATAAAATTTCTAAATCTTTTGCTTAAAAAACATGTGGGACACTGGTAAATCAATATATGATGAATGACAAAAATTTAGTGAGAATAATTTTATGACGTACAATATTTTATGCCGAAATTCTGTTCATTAGAATAAAAATATTGAAATTGCATAAAATTTAAAAAAAAAATTTCAGCTTTTTTATATACTTTTATTATTTGAGTCATATCCATGTCTTTCAGTGCATAAAGTGTAAATTTTTTTGAATTTGTGTCCCAGCAAAGTTTTCAAAATTTTTCACAAAGCTTCCTCAAATTTCAATCGTCTTTTTTTATGACAAACTTGTAGTCCTACCCATGACTGTAGCTTTGATATGATGTGAACAACCAAACTTCCTTTTATTAAAATTATGTCACAGAAAATAAATTCAAAATCACTCCTTTCTTTAATTACATACCAGGTGGAGTAGCAATACCATATCCTTTAGAATCTAGAAGCGTTCCTATTTGTGTTAATTCACAGTCTCTTTCAGTATAGTATTCAATAGTTGTTGATTCCATAAGAAAAGCGAAATTTCCTTTTTTTACTCTCTCTATACCTTCATCATTGTTAGTAAGTAATACTCCTGGTTGAGCAGATTGCATAGCAGTCCACATTCTTTTATATGGTTGAAGCTGGGAATTCTGAAACAAATTAGCAATTGAAATTCATGATGCTAATTATTTATTATTATCCTATTTGTTCACAGTAATCATTCATAGTACTACTAAATAATAAAATAGCTTTATACCTCAAAAAATTTTCTTGTTGAACCAGATTTTACACATCCATATTGAATATCAGATTGACGAGCTAAATCTTCAGCACTTTCTATTGGACTTTTCATTCTCTCTGCTGTTAAAAAAGCTGCAAGATTTGCAGTATATGAAGATATCATTATAAGTGTGAAGAACCACCAGAGGGCTGCCACAGTGCGAGTTGAAGTTGCCCTGTATATTTTAAAACACAATATGAAATCAAAATGCAATTGATCACAGCATAAAATAATTAAAATGATTATATTAAACCAAGTGATGATTCTATTTTTTGAATTTTTAGTGTGATTTTTATGAGGGAAAATTTTTTAACAAAGTCATTAGTAAGAATTTAGAGGATTTACAACCAGCTCACTTTCATACCAAGACTTTATAGAAAAAAATATGTCTAAGTATAGGGTAGTCTTATAATATTTCTTTTATATGAGCCTCTTAAGGTTTGTTTCATTTGTTTCAAAATGAAATAGAGTAATTTAAGGATAATAACCGAAGATCCTGTTGATTTTCAACAATCGAGCTCTCATGGTAACTTTTATAGTGGACAAATTACAAAATTTTAGTATGGCATTACCTATTTTTTCATCAAGACATGATCTTAAAAAAAGAGAACATAAAATTGAGTTGGAACCATATTTCAAGCATGAAAAACAACAGTTCTAGGCAAAGATGAACTCTAGAGTGTTTTATCTGCTCTGATTTGTCAAAATTGAATTGTTGAAGTCCGATCTAATGAGAGGGCTCTGACTACATTGAGAATTAATAAGAAAACACAGCAATTTGCAATGCTGCTTTTTGCTCTCTTTATCTTTACTAGCGCAACTGTTTTATAAACTAGACATTTCATTCCAACTTCATTTTATGTTTTATATTGTAATACTCATGTTAAGGTGAAAAAATGGGTCCTGTTACTTGAAAAGTTTGAATTGGTTCACTGTAACTGTGAGAGCTCTACCGTTATAAATCATTATATATAGGTAATCACAAACCCATACCATCAAGTAACACCACCTGAAATTTAATTTCAACTACTTAAGTGAACAGGTCAATAAGGATTTCATATGAAAAGTTATTTTATGACCATCCTGTATACAAAATAATATGATAGTAACAGGTTTTTTTTAAGAAACCTGATTATTTTTTAAGACTTTTGTATGTAAGTTCCTAGTTAAAAAAGTAACTCAAAAATAAAATAAATACTCATGAATATAAAAACTAAATTATTTAGTTTTAGACTCATAAAGCTAATAATTGGTTAAATCATAAAAGTTACTTTATTTTTTATTGCAATTGGAAGTTTTTCGAATTCTAGATATATTTGATGAAATGAAAGTTTCTATGTTTGAACAATGTGACCAAATTTACAGCCTTTCACATTGCTTAACATCAGTGCTCAATTTTTTATTAGACCAAAGAGACCTAAGGCTAGGAGTGGCTTAAAAATTTTACGAATATTGTTTTTTTTCCCTTGAGAATTGTCCATTAAAAATTATAACAAAAATGTAAATAAATATAAGCTTAAATTCAGTACTTAATATATCATACTTATAAGTACAGTACCGAACCCGTTCTCCGGAAATCAGAAAACCGGAACAAAATTCAATAATTTTCTCGCCATTTTTAAAAATAAAAAAAATTTTCCTCATGAGATTTTACGATTTTTCTTTTTTGTTTTTTTAAAGATGTTTACCTTTCCATCATTTTGGAAATAATCATTAGTGTTCTTCATCGTTCCATCGTTTTTTCTTATTTTTAAGATTATTTCCAAATATTTTTTTTTAGTTGGGTTTAACTATAAAAAAACGGCTTTTTGTAGCGATTCAGAAAACCGGAAAAATCAGTTATCCGGAATAGCGATGGTCCCGACCGTTCTGGATAATCAGTTCCCTACTGTATATAATATATGATATTATATACATAACTCTTATGTTATAAATCCTCAAAAAGGCTTTGTATATTAACATGATACACACTTGTTTCAAAATTATGACCAGTGGGGCCAATAGCAGTTTTGAGCCTACAGTTCCCAGTTAACTAAATCAGACCCTGCAGAATAATGCAAATGATATGAAAATGAGTTAGTACAATATTTTTCTCACTGTTTCATGGTTCTACTATTTTATGGTAATAAATGAAATCGAGATAATATTCATTTATATAAAAATTTCATGTAATGAGATTTAATTTTAAACAGATAATGAGTAAACTTACTTTGGGGCAATGTCAGAACCTTGCTGCATAAGTGAGCCAATGGTGAACCAAAAACTGTTGAGTAAGGAGAATGTATTTTCTAAATATTCAGTTTTAGGATTGCACGGATGAGGACTCACCCATTCATATGGTGAAAAGCGAGCCAAAACAAAAAGCAATAAACTTACTCCCAAGTAAGCTGTTGCCATATAAACCCAAACTTCAAATGAGAAAGGTGCAAGGAAAGAAAAAAGTTTCGGACTACTTTTTACTGGTTTTTTAAACAAAATGCTAATTCCAAGGTTCATAAATGGCATTGTGAAATCAACTGCTAATTCTCGTTCAAGTGTAATGGTGAGATCTCCAATTGCTAAATCAACTTCCTAAAATGACACAAAACAAATAGTCAAAATAGAAAAGAAATTAAATTTTCTCCACTTCAATGCAACCCTTATTATTATATATTCAAATCTCAATTATTTATCAATTAGTATAAACACCTGCATATTTCTTATTCTAATCACTTTATTAAATTTATGGGTATATTAGTGCTTAATGACTATTATTACAGGAGTTAATAACTGATATTTTTTGTTATCAGTTATTTTTTGTTATCAGTTCTTTATTACAATAATAAAATCACTTATAAAATAATGTGCCTTACGTTGACGATAAGTGATTTTAAAAAAACTTTACTTTATTGAAGCTCTTCATCCACTTCTATCATGCCACTGCATGCAAATGCTTTGCAAAATTTTGTTGAAGGAATTAACCTTGAAAAATATTTAATGCAAGCAAAAATCCTTATTAGATTCAACAAAATTACTGATAATAATGAAAAATATATTCATTGTCAACTTAAATTGGAAAGAAAACATTTTCACTTTGAAATGTCTTCCTGTGTGCAGTGGAAAATGCTACAGTTAGGAAAATGCTACATTCTGAAATTCTAAAGGTGCTATCTCAGTACTATTGTCCATCATCCACGATACTCATGGAAAAATTTATTGCAATGTTACAACAAATTACTTATTGATTTTATATTATAAAACAGGATTAGGATAACTTCTTCCACTATTAAAATGATAGTTATTTAAAATTGCAATTTATTACCTTAAAATTATGCTTTTGAAATTCTTACCCTATTTACTACTTCTCCAACCATACCATTCCAAGATCCATTATCTTGCCTGTTTCCATAACTCTTGTCTGCTACAATTCTATAATCATACTGACACTTCAGTCTTTGACAAATTTCATGTATTAAATCCACACAGAATCCTTCATATTTTTGATTTCCTTGAAGATATTCTCCTTTCTTTTCCATCGTGTATGGTTTGCTCTGTGGAGAAAAAGAGCTGGATAAATTAAATTCATAAATTATAAATATGTATTAAAAAATGTTTTCATGTTCCTTAAAAAAAATTACAGCTGTTTTTCTAAAGCTCTGTTGCCTTATGAAATAAAGCGTTTTCGCAAATAATTTGTAATTTTTATAACTGTTCGTAGTTTTTAATAATTACTAATGACTTATACTTTATTTTGTCTATTTCTAATTAGCGCCCTCTATACTAAGGCACAAATTATGACTATAGAGTTTGTCAAAAATGAAAGTCAATTAAAGTATCAATTTTGCAAAAATAAAAGTGTTAGTGCTCCAATTTTTCAACAATTGAATAGATACTTCCTTTTGGCATTCTTAATCTCAATAAAATATGCAGGAGCAAAAAATTATTTATTAATTATAAAGATTTTCATTTTGATGAGAAAATTTCACTAAATTAATGATTTATTAAGGTATCAAGAAATTCTCCATTAAAAAGAGATTTAAAGGACACTCTCAAGAAAGTGGTCACAAAACTTCTAATCAATTTCTGGTAAAATAATAATATAAAAATATTTATAGTGAAGACACATAATTAAGGTCTAGTTCTTCAATAATCCATGCTTAAAGATTTGCTACCACTTTTTCATTATTTATCAGATAAGACTTTTACATAAACTGATCACAATAAGGCCTTCATATAAATGAATACATTAGGAGAATGTACCTAGCTTAAATAGAATAGGGTGTGAATTTAGTGTCTAACATTTTACATCAGATTTCAGAATAGTGCTCTACATTTCTTTCATCTTTGTTTTTATTTTAAAAATGTACATTTAAAAATTTTTTTAATGCAATTCCCAAAAAGTTGCACAGAGACTTAAAGGTGTGGGACATTAGCGAGTTCAACCTAGCTTCTAACCAGCCCAATTTTCATTATATTTTACATTGTATTATCAGTGTATTATCAGTGATTCTGATAAATCTTAGTTTTCATTAATATTTTTACAAATTGATTATTTTTTCCTTATTATTTTTAAAAATAAAATTATATACATTGTTTGTAGAGTAGATGGTGCCTTTTTTCAAGAAAATACTATAATGTGGAATACTGAGACTTTTGGCATTAGTGGGATAGAGATATGAAACGAATGGCAATTATGAAAATAAAATTATATTTTTTGTTGTATTTTTACAGATTTTGCAATTTCAGTTTTTTCTTTATCTTTAATATTTTTATGGTATTATAGTATTTGCTGATTCATTTGAATTAAAAACAGCCAACAGATTCAACTTTAAACTAAAACAGATTCAACTTTACTTTTACTTTACAGTAAAAGTAAAGTTGAATCTGTTTTAGTTGAATTTGTTGTAAGTGATATCAATTACATAGTAATATACCAGAGGTTTAGCAATTATTCAAGCACAAAAAAGTTTATGAATATTTATTTTTAAATAAAAGTACTCATTAGAGCATTTAATATTAAGAGACATCAAGGTTAACATAAGCTTAAATGATATTTGATCATTTTTAAACATATGCTAAAAATTTGTTTAAAATAATTGTTTTTTTAAATGAAAAGAAATGTGCATAAATTGCATTCAAAAAGCAATTTAATTATAATAAAATGAATTTCAATTAAAATGATTATAAGGAATCAAAAACAATAAAAATGAATTTTTTTTTTTAAAAGTATAACAACTTGAGAGTATAATCTAGGAAAATTATTAGTTATTTGTAACCCAAGAGTTCTTTGAATTATCAATAGTAACAAGATGTCAAAATGTAAAAAATAAATATTTGTATTATATCTGAAATATAATACAAATATTTATTTTTTATTTTTGTATAAATATTTATTTTTTATTTGTTTATATTTGTATTATATCTGTAATTATACCTGTAATGCAAAGTTTGAGTTGAGATCAACAAAGTCAAACATTACTTTTAAAGAAATGAAAAAATGTAAATTTCTGGTACAATTATTTCAGATACCTAAAAAAAAGTTTTCAATGCTGACACTCCTATTCAATAAAAAATTTAATTTTACTAAATATGGATTGAATTTTTCAAAATTTTAATTTTAATTAAACTATAAGGAGCTCATTTAAAAATTAATAAAAAGTGATAAAAAAGATTTCTAGGAAAACTCAAATTTGCACAATACAAGATTTTATTTATCTCCTTGAAATGCAAAATCATTATTCTAATATAATGAAAAAGTATTGAGACATAAATATTTTCCTTCACGCATAGATAAGGAGTTGTAAATGATGGTTGGGTTACATTCAGAGAATGAGTACTAAAAGAACTGAAAAAAAGATTTTCTCTTCAAAATCAATAGACATTGATACTGTCATTCATATAAAGATAAGGATATTGCAGTGTTTCTGTCATATTCAGTGTATGAATATTAAAATTACAAAAAAAAGATTTTCGATTTGAAACCAAGTGGCTCTAGGTCACATGGAAGACGAAGAACATGGCTAGAAGATGATGAAGAGAACTTGAAAAAAATAAACATCAATAAATGAAAGTCAAAAGCTCAGAACTGTAAAGAATGGAGGGTTTTCTAGAGGCAGGCTGAAGTCCTCAAAGGATTGTTAGGCCAACAAGTGTCCAAAAAATTAGTTCATAGCCTTCTGAGGTGTCAGAAATTCTTAAAGGCTTACCATTGGTAGAGAATAAGAAGTGTTATAGTAATTCGAGGTAAATTCTTTCACCCGCACTAAAGGTTTTAACGAAAGAAATTAATTTTTGTAATTTTTATTTCTGCCCCAAAATGTAAACAATACAGATATTAACATAATATAAGTAGACATAAATGATTAAAATTTTAAAAATCACCAGAATGGAAGTAACACGTAGCCGTATGTTTTGCAAATTCTCCTTTACATCTGAAAGGTCTTTTGAATAATTTCCTGTAAATATTAAATGTTGCTTGGGATTCCATTCACCAACCTGTAACAGACATTTCATTTCTTACATAATCAAAAAGTTGAACATTGAATAGGACATATAATTGTAAAACATATTTTGAAGTAAACAAAAATTGTCTATAAACATTTAGGAGACAGTGTTGCATTCTCACTCCCATATAGCAGCAGAAGATGACACACTTTGTGCGGTTCTTTTTCTTTAAAAGAATTGTTTTTAAATCAAAAACTTAGGCAATTAAAATATATATTTTTTTCTAATGGCTGGCACTGAACTTTTAAGTTCTTTGCCATGAAGGATGCTAGAAGTGTTGCTCATTTAAAGCTACCTGAGTCATGGCAATGAGCAACATTACCAGCTCCCACACTGCCACAGATATATAGAATGGACAACATTTACACATTAGACAGAGATTGGTGTCCTGAAAGGGATTCAAATCTGTGACCATTGGCTTCGCAGTCCAGTTTTTTTTTTATTCTGCTTCAGTATTAATTCATAATTGTAGAGATTGTATAAATAAATAAATAAATTGTAGAGATTTAATTTCTATTTACCTTTTTTAGTCTAAGTAAAAATGCATTGCAATAAATATTGTACAAAATTGATATTTTTAGACACTCTCTTTTCATTTATATAAAAAATGTAAGTAATTCTAAATTCCATATTAAGAAGCAATAATTTAAAGTGTTAGGTAAGATTTGTGAAAAAATAGGTATAACATGAAAGTATAATTACAATCAGGATCATTTTCATTTTAACATCAATACTAAGAACAGTCTGTACAAAAACTAATGACTTCCCCTGTGCAAGCCTTCATATCACTGATAAAAATAGATTTCTTTTTGTATCCATGGAAAATCTTCATTTCATTTTACTGAAGAAAATAAAAATATTGCCGACAGCTTTGGTATAATAATAAACTAAGGTTTTTTAAAGACAATTTCAGCTATACATTTTTCATTACCATATATCTGGATGCTTAAGTAGACTTTTCAAACCCCCAAAATGTTACGAAAATCAGGAGATTGACTTATACACCAGTTGTAAGGTCAGACATTTTTTGATCATGAAATATCGATGCATTATTAACAATGGAATAGATATGAATAACTGTGTATCAATTTACCCCTTTTAAAAACTATTTTTAATATGTTATATAAAACTAATTTTGCATTTCCTCTTGTCATATTTTATTTACATACAAAGGTTTATTTTAAAGCAATGTTTTAAATTACATTCAGAAAAAAATTAAGAATATGAAAAGTAAAGATGATTTCCTCAAGAGCATTTCAAAAATATAACACAATGAAAACTAAAAACACACCATAAAACTACAAATATAAAGATTCCAGAAAATCATCTGTGCTGGATTCAATAATATTTGTTGTATTATAATATGGATCCATCTGTAATGGACTCTGTTTCATCCTTATCCTAATTAATTCTTACTTACTTTTTTTCATGGTTTTTAATTTTAGAAATTTTTATATTTGATTTCTTTCAAGGTCCAACTTGTACACATGTGTTGTGACCGTTTATTATAAGGCATGGGATATGTATTTAGGATGATTGACAATGATAGCACTCATATTGATAACTTATAACATAACAATAACTTTATTCACAATACGTACATAGAACACATCAACAAATAGAACATACTGGAAACCGAAACTGAAACATACAATGTAAACACAGTTGCAGTTATATCACAACCGCGATACTAGCGCCAGTGGAATTACATGGAAGATCCCAACAACATGACATCCCAGAAATTTGCTATCTCGCAATCAAAAATAGGGGGTCAACTTATGCAACGAGATATATATATACTTATGCAACGAGATAATAGGATATTAGATTAGGTCTAAACTAAGTCTCATTATTTAGAGGCTAAAAGCATTTTTTGTGTAATAATATTAAGTGGATAATCGCTAGTGTATCTAGGAATTAAAATTAATCTTAAAGAAATTAAAATTGGTTTTAAATGCTAAAAGTGGACATAAAAAAGGTAAATTTGTTACTTTTGTTGGGAATATTATTTGTTATGTTTTTTTGTTGTAGTTTTTGTTTTATTGTCTCAAGTAGTGAAAGGTTACAAGTGAGACCAAGCTGTTAAAATGTTTGAGTAAAAATAAATTAGAGTTGCTTAAAAATGAATACCACTTTCTATAAATATAATGGATTTTCAAAAATCCAATATGTATAGTATTTATTTATAAATATTATAGTATTTATAAATATTTATTAGTATTTATAAATATTAGTATTTAAAAATATTTATTAGTGTGATTTTGTTGGAGTTTAAATTTGATAATTAGGGTCTCAAAAAGGACAGTTGACCGTATGTTTATTCAGAGAAAGTACATTTTTTAGTCCAATTTTGTAACATGAATTCCCATATGAACATATTAGTTGGCAAATTTTGGGCAATGTTGTACATTTTCTTCATCATCTCATTAAGAACAAAACATTAAGAAGTAAAGAATTGAGTTTGCATAGTAATATATCAAAAAACTAACTTTAAGATTTAAGGTGTGTGTATAGATATAAGGCAATTCTAAAATCATAGGACAAATTTGAAGGGGAGATAGGGCCCAGCATAAGGATTAAGACTTGCATTAGAACCCATGACCAGAAATATCACTGTCCGACTGCTAGGACGCTTTACTATTATGAACTGTTTCTACATGTAAATAATAAAATAAAGTAAATAATAACAGCTTCATAATATGCACTGTTTTTAGGTGTTCTAGATAAAAGCACCTGTTTAAATCACACGTAAAAACAGTTGATAATAGGAAAGCACCACTGACAGCCTAAAATAACATTTCCGGTCATGGGTTCCTATGCACATATGCATTTAAGATGTGCCCTATCTCCTTTCCAAATTCGTCCTATGATATTTAGAATCAACCTTAATTCATGTATAATTTAANTATATATATAAAATTAAATATAAGTTCTTCGTTATTCTCTCCTTTTTCCATTTCGTCTTTATTATGTTATATATATGTAATATGTATATTCAATTTATCCATACAGATTATATTACTAAAATAATGGTGTAGTATGATGAAAAGTTTCTTAAAAGGATGATACTAATGGAAATAATCTAATATCTTTTTTATTAGTTTTAGCAGATATTAGATAAAACAAGCGGTGTTTCTAAAAAATTCATTTATGATTTGAATGCTTATTTATAAGCAGCAAAATATGAATTTCTGATATATATTTTTATTTGTACGTTTTTTTAAAAATTATTTTGCACTATTAATGAGCACATAATTGTAGACTACTGGTGGTCACATAGTGCTTTTGTGTGCATTCCAAATGTTTTGATAATGCCTAATATAGAGAACATATATAAAGGAAATACGTAAGAAAAGTAACTGTCCTGACTCGGTGGCAAATTTCAGGGCATAAGACGAAATAAATTAAAGGCACTTTCGTATTTTTACAAAAAAGTTTCTCCTACATATGATTCTAGAAAATCCATGCTTATATAAAAAAAATTTATTTTTTATTTTTATTATAAGACATTTTAAAGGGGAAAAACCACCATTTAAACTGCTAACTGACAAGTAGCCACAAATTGCTCTTTATTTTTGTTTGATTTTGACTATGTCTCTTAACCAGTTAACTTATTAAAACAAAAATGCAAATTTTTATGAATATGTACATAACATATATCAAAAAATCATAACTATCACCAAATAGTTTTCGTGCCATTTTTGCTAAAATATTAATAACAGAAAATTGTGCTGAAATATCAAGCACTTAATCATTTTTGTTTATTAATATGCAATTTTAGTGTTTTGTGGGATACAAACATTCTATTTAGTTAGTATTTTATATTAATTACTTAAGTACGAAATCTGACAAAAATGTACTTTCTCAAAATAAAAATACCTTTTTCTAGAAATTGGATTCCAGACCCTCCACATATCGGTGGTGGCAGCAATCTGGAAAATAAGGTCCCAATAGTTTAGTAAGAGGAGGGTTAAAAGTTAATTAGTGTTGATTTTATTAACAAAACCCATGATGAGATACAATTGAACAGATACTATTGAATCTATGCAACTGTTTCCATATGTATGCGTCCTAGTGGTAGTTGTATCTCCAAAAAATTGTGATATTTAACATTTTATAAATAACTAGCTGTTGCCCGCAGCTTTACTCACACAAAAGTACTTGGATTATAAATTTTCAAGAAATGTCCACAATATTTTCAAAGATCTTTAAAGTAATTGAATTTTAGTAATAATTTAAAATTTGTCTGACAGCATTTAAACCCCTCAAACCACCATCAGTTTGGAACATTTTAACATAGAGAGCAGCAGAAATATTTAAATTATTTCCAACTCTGTAATGAGGTTAGATTAAAATCTTTTCTAAATGCTATATTATGTGCTGTACTACTTCCTTATGTGCCTCTCAAGACATAACTTATAATATATAGTATAGCTTATAAAATATAGTATAATATATACGCTATTGCTTATAAAGGGTAAGCTCCATCACCATTAATTGGTATGGCAGTATGTGGCACCATAGCACTGTTCATATTTTAAATTTCTGCAGCCATTTTAGATAAGATCAAAAATAAATTTAAATAATTACTTCATAACCAGATTTTTATTTCTATAAGAATACAAAATTATTCTAAATAAACACTTAACATATAATAAACTAATTAACACTACATAAACTATCTCTTAAGCTGCCTAACAAAATGAATCTAAATAAATACTTAACATCTAACTTAGTATTTAACACTACTTAATATATTACTTATTATTACTATTAACAAAATGAATTATCATAGATGACTATGGTGTTGCAAATTTAGAAAAATATTCATGTTTTTAGTGTCACATAAAAGAAATAAATATACAGATAATAACAATAATAACAGTAATAATTAAATTTTACTTACTTTTAAAACTTAAATTTAGACATAGAAACATACTCAAATATGGCAATAAAAAAGTTAAAATCTAACATATTTTAACTAATTAATAAATCCTATGAAAAGGAAATAACGCCTTATGGTAAAATTAATAATGAAGACCAAAAATGCCCTTCACATAACATTTAAAAGATAAAAAACACATTTGAAAATGCAATGGACAAAATTCATGTATTCATTTAGATGTTATGAAACTACTTAGTTCAAATCCTAAATTGATACAAAAAAATAACGAATTGAACCCTGTAGTTAATCAAATGAAGGCTGCTGATGGCTATAAAAAGTTTACCAACATACAAAAGAACGTACAAAATGAAGTGGACTGCCAACCTCAGTACCTTGACGATCCCCTTCGGCTTCAGATCTAGAAGATCAAGACTGAAATGACTCCTTCGTCCCTGATTATCCACTTGAATTTCACCTGTTACACCTTTCATGCGTATCTGAAACAAAAATTCAGTCATCTTTAGATGCATTGTATTGCAACCTTAGATTTTACCTCTGGCATAGCCATAGAGGGATATGAGAATCAGAATCCTTCTTTCGTAAAATCTCAGAAATTTTGACAAGTAATTTTTTATAAAATAAAATTTACAGAAATATTCATTTTTATTCATGCTTATAAATTTCTAGAAAAATATTGTAGCAACATTTTCTAATACTGTAATGAAAGTGAAAATAAATTTTCTTAAGTGTCTTAATATTTCAAGTGAGGCAAAGAATTTGACAAATTTCTCATCCCAGATAATGCAAATTAGAAATTATTTACAATACATATTTGTAGCAGTTCGTTGATTGGCAAAACATAAAGTGCTAATTAACTGATATTACTTCTTAAAATTTGAGGTTTATTTAATAATTTGGAGGTTTCGTTTATACCTCTTTTGATAATCAGACAGTGAGTTGTCAGTGATAGTACTTTCCATGTTGCACATAATAAGCAAGAAATTAGCATATATTTTTATTTTTTGGGTAATTTTTAATAGTTAATTTCTTTAAGTTAGTTATTGACATTGTGGCTATGTAAATTAGATTGCTGGTTAAATACAGCCAAGTGTTCAGCTCTCTCTCTTTCTGATTCCCTTTAATGACTGGACCCATTTACCAGAATCCTGAATGCAGGAAATTAGTTACAACAAAAGAATAATGAAATTTCATAAGCCATATTGTCTTCTCACTTGCATGTGCAAAAGTTGATGTATCTTAATGTGGTAGTTGATATCATTCAAGATATAGCTATTCACCCTTTACAGCCCAAAATCGGGCAGTATTTGGAATGACATACTCTTTCCGCAGTCAGTAAACTAAGGGACCAGGAAACCAGAGAAGATCAAAGGGTTTTATAGTCCTCTCACGTTTTATAAATAAATGTGCAGCTCCTTTCATTATAACAATTAAAATAAATAGATATAGTTTTTTTTCTTTAAAAAAATTTCACTATTTTAAGAGAGCTATAAAAAAAAAATTTTGGCAGAAACTGCAGCCAAATCATCCCCCACAAGGATATTATGAATTTTAATTCTTGGTTTCAAGTATCATTCAGTCTTATCTTTATTGCTTATCTTTATTCTGATTTTTTCTGAGCTTCTAATCTATTAATTTATAATGTAATAACTTATTATTTATGATTAAGATAATTAATGCTCGATGTCATACTTCAAGCGAAATGGTATATATGTATTGTATATATGTATTGTGTATATATATATGTAGTGCTCGTTCTCGTTCTTTCTCGTAAACTCTTTACTCGTAGCTTTCATTCATGAATGATTATTTTGTTGATTCCAATTTTCGCAGTTATGTTTTAATTATTTTTAATATCCTTTTCTATAAGGATGACAACAAATGAAGTTTCTATGCTTTTATTGAGAAAAGAATAAAGGAATCTATTTACAAATTATATATACACGGAGCAGAGCTCCTGGTTAGATGCTTACAGTTTCATTTCTAAACGATAAGTGTACACTTTTTTACGTGTTACATATAATTTCCTTCATGTCATGTGACCCAAATAATCCAGACTATTTTTTTATATCTTCTTTGTTAGGACCGGTGTTCTGTAACATCTGAAGACCAGATGGAGATGAATTAATATCTCAACAGTCTTGATTTTTATGGGAATTTGGCTTCTTACTGTGCGGGGTGGATTCATTTTATAAATAAAGATTTCATCGCTATTCAACGGGACTAAATGTATACGCGAAGAGCCAAGTTAAGTATGTGAAAGAGAAATTTAATGTTCTCAGAGACCAGATAAGCTTATCTGCAGATAGATATGATTCTTTTTGAGTTTAGTCTCAAAAGATCCTTTTAATTTTATAAAGCTAGTATTTTAGATACTACATATATATATATATATATCAAGAAAAAAAGACACAAATATATCTTTAAAGAGAAAAAAAATTATAAATTATTATTGAAAAAAAAAATTTTTTTAATAATTTAAAAAGCCTGAAAATAGAATAAGGACAGATAGATATCACTGATATATTTATCTCTCCTTATATTTGATGTGAATCTAAATGCTGCTACAATTTTTTTAATTAAAAAAAAAATTTATGTTATTTTGCTTGTTTTAATATTTAAAAAATTTATTTATTTGATTGGTCAAATGTTTGATAACTAAATTTACTTCTGATTAGTAAAGTTTCACAGTAGTATGCAAAACAATAAAAGGCTTGTTGTTGTTTTTTTTATTTTTTTAAGACATGTACAAAGGTGGGAAGGCACTTTTGAGTTACTTTGTAAATTATCATGGTAAATGGTATTATTATGAACACAATAGTAGTACAGTAGACGTCGCTTAATGTGATTAGGGTTAACGTTATCAATCGTTTAATGTTATCAAAATCGCTTAGTCCCTACCGCTTATATCAAAATACATTGAAAAATCATCGTTTATTGTAATCAAATGTTCGTTTATTGTTATCAGTTTATATATAAATTTTATTTTCCTGAAATCAATAAAAACAAGAAGGAAAACTTTTTTTTTTGTTTAAAGTGTTCGGGGGTTCATATATTATCTTTTAAACACGTGCTATTAGGAGGGTATTTTGCCATTTTCAGTCAAGCATTGTGAAATTTCGTAGCACTGTGCGATTTCAAATTCCCGGAAATCCTAAATAAAGAGAAAAGAAGACCTGCCAGTAACGAGTCAATGTTTGTCACGAGCCCCTTTTTAGAAGAACTAAACAATGTGGCAGATGATGCGTCCCAGCCACTATGGGAAGGGTTTAAGGGGTGACCTTCAAAAGAGAACATTGTTTCTGGTACGCCACTTGATCTGGGCAGATCGCTTGTTGGCAGGTCACTTACCGAGTCGCTATTGGTCAAACAATAAAATTGGGGGTGGGTAGTGGAACTGCCCCATCTAAGTGTTTAAAAGACGCAAACAGAAGAAGATCAGCATAAATTTTCATAGTTCATACGGTTTGTAACCAGATTTGTTTTTTATAATGAAAAGGAAACAGAGAGATCTTACTGTGAAAGAAAAGGTTGACATTTTAAATTGTTACGATAAATTGCCGAAAATGAGCCAAAGGAATGCTGCTGTTCAATTGAAAGTTTCGCAGCCGCTTTCGTGCAAAATTTTAAAAAATCGCGAAGATATCGAAAAAAATTGCACTTTGAACGAAAATCTGAATTGCAAAAAAAATCGAGATGGAAAAGACAAAGAGGTTGAATCAGCATTAAAACTCTGGTTCACAAACGTTTGTGAAAGAGACGCTCGTGTTAAGGGTCCGATTTTGCGCCAAAAAGCTGAAGATTTAGCTGCAAAATTGGGTAAAGGAAACTTCGTAGCCACAGGATGGTTCCACCACTGGAAAAAGAAGCAGAACATACTCTTCCGAAGGACACACGGTGAACAAAAAGTTGCCGATAATGTAGCAGATCAGTGGATTAAAGAAGAATGGCCTAAACTTATTGCCACATATTCACTTGAAGATGTATAATAACGTTGATGAAACTGGCCTATATTTTCGTGTGTTGCCTGAAGAAACCTACATGTTTCAGAAGGAAAGTACGCAAGGGTGCAAAACCTCCAAGGAAAGCCTAACTATGTTATGTTGCGCTAGTATGACCGGCACTAAAGAAAAACTTTTAGTGATTGGAAAAAGTAAGAAGCCCTGCTGTTTCAAAGGCGTGAAAAATCAGCCCATCGATTATTTTGCCAACAAAACGGCTTGGGTCACCCAAGCCACCATCTTTCACGAATGGCTGTTGAAATGGGACAAGCGACTAAAACAGAACATACTCCTGCTCATAGACAACTGTACTGCGCATGATGTAACTGTTTCATTAAAGAAGGTAAATATCGTGTTCTTACCACCAAACACCACTTCCTTAATTCAACCGTGTAACCAGGGAATTATCCGCGCCTTGAAGGCATATTACAAAAAGGAAATGCGTTCAAGGATCTTAGAAAATATGGAAGACCAAGACGCTGAAGATCTTAATACGAACGCTCTAGCCAAAAAAAAAATGTTTTGGATGTCATACATTTGTTAACAATGTCATGGAAAAATTTCTCAAAAAAAAACAACTCGAAATTGTTTTAGTCATGGAGGATTTTATCAACAAGAGGACAACAATGCTGTTGTGATGAAAGAAATGGAAGACGTTTTCAATCCCCCGCCCGATATGAATGCTGAGAATTTTGAAGCATGGATGGAGATCGACGAGAAGGTTGAGGCTTCTACTTCGTTAACTGATGAGGACATTTGCAAAGCCGTATCAAAGATCAAGCTTCGTCGCAAGATTCTGATGCCGATGATGAACCCGAAAGTGCTATCAAGGACAAAATTCCGACGCCTGCTCAGATGAGGGAGGCACTTGGAATCTTACATCTAGGTGTGCAAAACAAAGCTGACGCAGAACACTTTAATAAACATTATGATTATGAGCGATTCGTAAATGACTTGCTTGGAAAAAATCCTAAACAATCAACAATTGATAATTTTTTTTTCAGTTAATAATTAACCTTTTGTATTTTATATTGTTTTCTGCAGTTCATCATTAAATATGTAAGTATACTAACTAATTCTTTTTCTTCAGTGTACATTAATTTCTATTAAATACTATAGAGTTTTACAGCAACAACTCCTAATTTAAAATAATTTTTATTTTAATACGTATGTAAAAAAATAATTTTTTCACTTAAATTTCTCTTTGTTTACTGTATTGTAATCAATCGGTTATTGCTATCAAATCACGTTTGTCCCGATGTGATCACATTAAGCGGCGTCTACTGTACGTTATGAATATAAATGGTAGCTAAATGCTTAAAATAAAAACTTTCTCTTGAGCAATTTACTTTTGATCCCACTCAACACTGTCATTTAAGTCAGCTATAAATTAATAGTAAACTTTTCACTAAAGAGAAATTAACTCTGTTACTTTAGAGTAATCAGTAAAAGATTTAATGCATCTGACTTGTAATGTGGACCCTCCCAAAATGCATTAGTCCAAAACCCCCAAAGTTGTGATTTCTCCTTTGATTATAATAATAAAAGAATTTTTTCACTTTAGACCCATATTATAATACGAACATTTACTTGATAGTACTAATCAATAAAATTAAGAGATTAGAAACGGGAAAAGATCAAAGTACAAGTAATTTTCCGAGAAATTATTGAATTACCATGTCTTATCACACTGCTGGAGTAAGACAATTTGGTCTAACTTTTTTCTACACAAAAGAGAAAGTTATAAAAAGAAGAGAGAAATGCTGACTTTCAAACGAAACAGGATTATCTGTAATGACCACTCTTAATATATATTTCTTCAGTCTTTAAGCAAGAATTAAGTTTAAAAGCATCTAAAAACAGTTCATTTAAGGATGAAGTGAAAAGGATTTTCCTAGCTAAAAGCAAAGTCATTCTAGTCCCAACAGATAAATGAACTGATTTGGATGATTTTATCCTTCCCTTGCTCCTTTTAAACTCAATAGTCAAAAGTTTGGATTTTTTTTTCACTTAATATTTAATTTGTGATCCCTTAACTACATAGTTCTTTTAGCTTCACTTCTTTTTTTATAAAAGGTCTACAAACTTATCTTATCCGCGATCAATTCAAAACATAGTGCATATAGTATTTATCATAAAATTATATTTTGAACTTATTATAAAATTATAAATTGTATTAAGATAATCAATGAATATTTTATTCAGTTCCACCAAGACCATCATAAATAATTCAGGCAATATAGCAATTTAAATATTAGCTGCCCTCTATCAAATCTAATAACTTCACTAATATTGTTATTGAGGATGTTAAATAGAAATTATGCAACATATACATCTTATATTTACACCCAGTTTGAAGTCATACATGTAACACATTTTAATACTTGAGTTACATTAAAACTTGTTCTGTACAACTATTACAACCAGTACAACTCATTAGAATATTAAGAGCATTCTGGTTAGATATGAAAAGTGTGATTTACCTTTTGAATACTGTCTATGAGATCCAAACCATATGGATAAATAGACGGATTATCACAAGACACAGTACGAGGTGCAATGTTTTGCTGTGATGCCACACTGTGCAAAGCTCGTGCATATAAGTTTACTGCATCAACAAGCAAAGCTGTTTCAGTCTGTCAAAAAAGAAATCGAATCGAATATATAAATTTTACTTAAGATGAAAAATAACTATTAAAATTAAAATCTTAATTTAATTTTAATAACTTTTTTCTTAGTTATTTTTAAGTATCCCTTTTTTATGTAACCTTTTAATTTTTCATTTACTTGGTTACTTGGATTAGAAAATTTAATTTGGACTATATTTGAAATAATTAAAGAGTTACAGTATTAAAATTCGGAAAAAAGTTTATATTGTTTGCAGAAATTAGATAAAAAAAGTTTTATTAAACATCTAGAACATTTAAGATTTACAACAAAAATCATAACATTTTATTAAATTTAGAGTTTATCTAACTTGATGCTATTATAGTTTATCTAACTAACCACCTCAATATTTAATTAAAGTAAAAATTGAGCACTGAAAACATCCAATCTTATTTTCAATAAAAAAAATGGAAGTGAATACACTTCCTTTTGTTTTGGTAGAGATCAAAACAACAATAGTTAATTTGGAATAAAAGAGGCCAAAACTATGAAGAGGTTAATTAAAGAATGGATAAATACTGATTCATGTGTTTGAGAATGCTGAATGTAAACAATTATCAACTCAGCAAAACAGAGGGTTTTCAAGAATTGCTCGTACATAGCAAATAATTAAGAGATAAAATCATACAATTAAATATGACGTCAAATGCAAATTCGATGTTTAGACACTAAGGAAGGATCTTGTTTATAGAACTGAAACTATTTTATGTCAATTTATTGTACTTAATTTGTACATTTCACATTGTTTCTTTCTTCAATCTGTATAAGATTGAAATGAGACAAAAAGTTAAGAAGCAAGATATATATTCAATCCATTAGTAATTTTACGTATTGTTTTCTATTAAACTTGAGGTGTTGGCCTATATAAAATAACAGATTCTATAAAATCAGGTAAAGACAAAAAAATTTTGCACATGAGAAATTTTTTTAATGTTCTAATGGAAGAAATTTATACCAACTTCTGCCAGCATTTTTATGGGCATAATATACATAAGAAAATATGGCTTTTCTATGCCATAAAATTCTGTAAACTCCATTTGACCGCTTATAATAATGCTACAAGTAAAGTTCAGTTAGCTGAAAAAGGGAGAAACATTTCAATCCAGTTGAAAAAATTTCATTTTCATGAAATAATAAATTTGAATTCTAATATGAAATTTCTGAAATGAACTCGACATTCTATTTTAGTAATCTGAAAATTAACATAAATTAACTCAAAGAAAAGAACATAAATTTTGCTTGAACAAAACACCCTCTTCAGAATGATCAAAAACATTATGCCAAAAACATTTAAGGACATGAGGAATGCTAAAAATAAAAAAAATGACAGAAATTTCGATGTCAACTTAATAAAATGCAAGTAAAAAATAAAGCTTAAAAGTAAACACAAATGAATATTTTGGGTAGGATAAAAACAAAAACAGTATAAAAATCTTACAAATTACGATACTGAAGAAGAGATTAAAAATATCAAAACCTGCTTGATTAACACAGTTTTTTCTTCTTTCACTAATCACCCTTTATCTCCTTTTTGTTTCCTGGCGCACACCCTAACAACTACAGAATTTTCAAATTCTGGCAGTTTCAGAAAATATTTATCTCAGTGGTAGCAAAGGTAATGTACTGAAGTTTTAAGAAATTACAGTTTACAAATTTTTTCAACCACCACATATCAGCAATTTAAACAAATAAGAGTCAGGCGGACTAACAGGCATGGTTTATATGTCTGATAAAAATTCCAAAAAAATCTTATTTGTAGTAGAAATCATATTTGTTTTGAAAATTTCTGATTTAGTTTACAACCACAGCAAAAGATATTTCGCAAAAATCTTGAATATTAGAGGGGATGTTGAGGTAATCAAAGAGGTTTTGATATTTTGAGAACTTCTTTCCTCAATAGTGGTTCATGAAATACATTGTACATATTTAAGTGAGACTATCCTTAATGTGCTCTTCAGGAGACAACCAATTTAAACTAATCTATGGCCCTGTTCTTTAGTTTTAACCAAAATTGCCTTGTTTTCCCTTTTAAAAAATGCTTATACGAAAATTCTGATAGATAAATATTTTTCTTAATGCATAGTTTTATAGGCTTGGCAACAAATATAAATTATCTATTTCATCAAAATATTTCAAAATTAGGCAAAATATTCAATATTTTAACTGTTGTTAAATTATTTTTTCCCCAGAGTTGTAGTGCTAATTTTTTTTATTACTTGGAAACAAGTTACCAAAAAGGGAAGAGAGAGGGTGGAATCTAAAATTGTTGATGACGATTTCTGATTAATAACTATTAAACCATCAGAAGTTGTTAAAGTATTATCTTTAGTTTAATTTCCTTATTTATATTCGATTGTACGCTAATTTTCCTTTTCATTTCCCAAACAAAAAAAAAGAAAAGAAAAAAACAGTTTTAAATATAAAATTCTAGAATTCTTAAAAATAACTTTACTTAGAATCTTACAGATTTATGAATTACTTATTAATAAAACGTATATATCAAACTGTTAAAAACAATTTAAAAAACTTCACACTGAATTATTGTTTTTTGGTTTATCTACCACTGTGCATACTAATGGTAACAAGAAATTAAATAATGACAGCTTAAAAATAATAATGTAGGGTTATATAGATGGCTAATATCACAAATGAATACTTTTCTTTATTTTGCAGAATTGCTTTTAAATTTAGCACATTAGCTTTTTTCATTCATATTACAAGAGAATTGCACTAAAATAATTTTGATAAAAAAAACTTTGGACTATAAATAAAAAATCGGTAGTATTTAATTGAAGTTCTGTACCACACATTAAAAAGCACTGGTATATTGAAATTCTGCATTCTGGCCTCACTACACCCCTGTTTAGATTTTTTTATCATCCCATTTAATAAATTTGCAAAAGGGCATGCTTTCAACAATAATAAAAAAAATTTTTTAAAAAACATGGTTTACTTTTCGTAATGACATGAGAAAATTATAAATTTTCAAAATTTATAAGAAAGAGTAATTAGTAATAAATTACCTTTAGAGGCAATCCTTTTCTTAGAGAATTTTCTTTTCTTCCATAAGGATGTATTCCATAGCTTTGACTGTCTGCTGTAACAATTCGAAATGCCGTGATATTTGTCCGACTGTGTTGAAATGCTGATAAATCTAGAGTATGGAAATCCTGAAAAATATACATATATTTCGTTAAAATGTTACAAAAAGTGACTTTTTGATTATAAACCCTGTTTTATTAGATAAAAGCAAAAGGCTACCAATCCTGGCTGTTTAATTCAGAAATGTTCAGTGGTTGCCCTTTTTGCAAAATACTATCTAGTTCAGGGCAACTAAATCTAATTGTCTGCTAGCCACATTTTTTGTCAAAAATGCACCCCCATTGTGTATTTTATTATTTGTTTAAAAAAATATTGAATTATGAATATTTTATAATCTTGCAAAAATTCTATTATTGTGTCTTAAAATTTTTAATTTCAAAAATGAATCTTGTTATATTTACTATATTTTAAGAAATGCTACAAAATAAATGCTTGACATTATAATTATCAACAATATTTTTAATTAGTTAAAATTTTGAAAAAGTGACCACTGTTAAAAATGCTACTACTGGCCCCTGGCCAATACCTAAATTTCTTAATTTTGTCCTATACGATCTAGCCATCAAGAGAACAGTCTGAAATTTTAAGGTTGCCCGTTACTATGGAAGTGCTAACTCGGTTTTATTGGGGGCAGAATTGAAGAAATGACATTGATAGGTTTTACAGTTGGTAAAGTTACATGAAGCCTAGAACAACCTTATTGTTTTCTGCCCTAATTTTAAAACTAAATTTAAAAGCAACTTTAATGTAAATTTTCCTTTTATTTTCTCTGATGGAGATGTCCAGACCATCTGCTGAACTATATCACTAAATCAATCAATTGCAATAATTTTGTGGTTTTTGTGCAAGCAGTTCTTTGTATTATTCCTATTGGATGATTCTTATTCCCATTCCAATGGAAACATATTCCTATTGGTTGCTATTACTAATTGATTAATCATCGATATTTTTTTCGTAGATAGGTAAGTAAAGATATGTCAGCTGAGGTATTTCTATACTGAAGGCAAAATGACTAACCTTTCATCCACATCTGAAGTGTCTAATTCTCATAATAACTGAAACCAACATGGAAGTTGAGTGTTTTAAGTTGCTTTGGTAATAACAGAACATGATTGAATGAAACTGTTCAAGTTAATTAAAGAAATCTAACACATTACATTTCCTTTAATAATATAATTTTTTTATTATAAAATATGGGATGTTTAATTAAGGATATAAATTTTTACAAGCCTTAAAAATAATTTTTTGCAAACTTCCAGTTAAGTACCTATTTTCTCATTAAATTGTTTAAACTTTATTTTAATTTAATTCAGTTAATTACGCCTTTTTCTAATTTTCATTATATTTTGAAAATATATTTTTAACTTTTTTATACTTAAAATATATCCCACCACATAAGATATAAAATGATCAAAATACTGAAAATCAAATTTATATATTTTTTAAATCAAAAGTACGTCAAATATCCCACACCAAAAACACAAACAATTACAAAGCTTAGCAAATCAATGTTATTTAGTTATAGTCAGCTATTCTTACCAATGATGTTACTAAATAGTTGTGGTACTCTGTCAACATTCCTGCTTTTTGAGCCTAGAAAATTACAATTTTAGCTACAAGTTTAGTTATTTCTTATACAGCAGTTACATTTTTATAGAGAAAAAGAGAGAGAGAGAAAGAAATAAAGATGGAATACTTCAGTCAAAACATCTTTAATTCTTGATGTTGGAACTTCTAAGACAATATTGGTTTCTCCTTTCTTTTTGATATCTTTGAGAATTTTATTATACTGAAAGTCAGCTGTATACTGTTGTAAAGAAATTTGAACTTTGTTTTGATTTCTTAGCTTCATTAACTCTTGAAGTTTCATTAACTCTATAATATAATGAATACTATTAATACTAATCTAATTGTACTTATTAACATATACATAACACACATACAATAGCATTTAATGCCAGCGTCCTAAAAAAAACTAAAAAACTGGAGGTACTGCTTCTAAAACGTTATTCAAAAAATCATCAATTACAAAAAAATAAAAACTTTTTGTTCCGAGAAATTTAATTTGGAACAATAGATAAAGTGTTGAGTTTTGTATATACCATCCTTAAAATTTGACCCCCAGTTTTTAATTTAACCATTTAGACTAAAAACTGATGGTAAAGCTTCTAAAATTGTTATTTCAGAACTACTTTATCTAAAAAAAATTAAATATGTCCTACTAATAAAGATACATTTCTATTCTGAGAATTTCAAATTGGAAAAGTAAGATGATGAGATTTGAATATCCTTTTAAAAGTTTTACCATCTTTAGTTTTCTCTGGATGCTGATAAGTCTATGCATTTTATAGGCGTTTACATGTCTTATGTAGACCTATAAAAAATACATTATAAGCCAATACATTACATAGGAGTTTTACAAGTTATTTTGTTTAACCTTGGATTTTCAAGTTAAAAACTTAAACCTACTTTTTTATTATTATTTTTTCCTTGTATATTTATATAGTTAATTTCACTAACTCATGAAATGGATCCAATTTGAATAAGGTAAGTCGTTACTACTTATAAAATTATTTTTATGAAATTTCTAAAGAGTTTTCTAATCTTCGCAAATGATTTTGAATATAAGATAAGAAAAATTAAAAATTATATACATGTTACGAATTATAACTCATGACTAATGATAATAGCTCATAAATTATAGCTCATAATGACTAATGATAAAGTTGATTATTATGATTAAAAATGATATTCATTATAGATTAGCCATTGTTTTACTCTATTACTACCTATTACTAAGTTTGTGATTTTCAAAGGTGTAAAAAAATTAATATATCCTCAGGTATAAATATCAAAGGCCTCTTATAAGACTCTAGTATGATAGGCCACAAACATATAAGGAAAAAATTTAAAAGTGGTAGCTAATTGGTAAATTTTTATAGAACAATCTCTTTAAATAAAAACAAACCAGAAAATATTTTATCAAAGACAAATATTTTTTACGTGAAAATATTTTTGATCTTTGTCCTTTCTTTACCACAAATAGATTAAAAAATTCATCATTTAAATTTTTGCAGCACAAAAAAAAACAGAGTTATCTCTAGGAATAAAAATGGGCAGGGTGCTTCCTCACGTAAAAGGGCGCTTTGAGTTTGGAAAGGACACTCGCGTACCACCGGTAAAATTTATCAAAATATGGAATATTTTATATTAGCTGAATTTGATCCTCAGTTTTTAAACTTCCCTTTCATACTACTGTAAGTGTATATTTTACAATGTCATTCTCACTCATTAACAAAATAACAGAAAAATTAGAAGCTTTTGAAAAATAATTAGAGGCAAGCTAAAAGACAATCTCTGTGTATAAATTTTCTTCAAAAAGAAAGCAAAACTAAAAATAAGGATTAATTGATGAACAACTTTAAAGCTTTTTTTTAAAAATATTTTAAACTGAAAATTATGAGCTTTTTTTTAATATTTTAAACTGAAAATAACGCTTCGAGAAAACACTGCATAAAAACATAGAAAATGTGGTTTATCACTTTCTTACATTAAATCCTTCAATACATATACGTTTCATTTTATTTCTATCTGTAAGAAAGTCTTAATTTGGCGCAATGATAATCCACAAAATGTTCAAAAATAAAAAAGTGGTAACACTTGAGAATGAGCATTGTTTATGCAATTATTAAGTACTTTTTTAATTTTAAAATTTAATGCATTAAGAACTTTAAACTCAATTTTAATAAGCTATTTCTGTTATTCACAATTGAATTCTCTTTTATGTCTATGTTTTCCTAAGAAACTGGTGAAGATTGCAGAAATTTGAGTCTTTTTGAGAATCGGAAAGTTATTAAAATATTTATTTTAATACATACCCTCAGCATATTCATAAATGATGGTAAAAGAACGCCAGTTCTTGGATTCAACTAAATGATAAATTGCTGTTCCTAATGATCTTGGAAAAAGTGATATAGTGAAACTCTGCTGCCCTTTGTCCACATCCCAGTGAGACTCAAGATGGGGTATATGTAGTGTCGTTGCTATTGACCGAACTAAGGCACTGGAAGCAATGGAACTTGGGCCAAAGAGAGCCACAACACCTTCTCCCAACAGAGAGCATACTATAAAAAACACCACATATGTAAATAGATACATGAATAATGACAAATTTGAAGTTATTTTAAAGGAATCTCTATGAAATTGATTTAAAAAAAAAAAAATTCCTGCACACACTTAGCTTTTCCCCCTACCTTTTCAGAGGAAATTATACCACAGGAGAAATTCTTCCTGGCAAATTCTCTTTCACTTACATAAGTAATTTAAAATATAGAAAAAGCGAGTTCAGGAAAACTTTAAATAAACCATGAAGTTTCAAATGCTTTTTTTTTTAAATACCAAAAAGTAAACAAATTATGGCAAGATTACCTAGGATTATACAGTGAAGAAGTTAGCTTCCAATAATTTGTTTGCGTTTTGTTACTGTGAAATTTTTTTTCTTCAGCCTTTTTAACTTCACTGTTTACTCAAGGTTTACCTGAACACCTTTTACTCTAAACTTTTAAATTGAAAGAATTAGCCATGAAAAGTTTTTCCCATGTGATAGTGTCCTTTTAACTTAATGTGTTGCCTCCTTTCAATGCGATGATTCTCAGCTAGACCATGAGCATATAGGTATGGGATTATTTTTCCTAGGTATTTATTGAACACCAAGTAACTAATTAAATTATATTACATACATATTAGCATTTGTTTTGATTTTGTAATGATGCTAGTAGTAAAGAAATAAGCAAAATTCCTTAAATAATGAATTATTGATAAGATAAAAACTAATAATTTTATGTACTTTGTTTACTATAGTAAATTTATTGATTTTATTGTTATCATTGACTTGAATAATTAAGCATAAAACCATCAATCATTAGAGTATTAGTGTTAGAAAATATAGTCAAAAAATTGTGGCTATTAAATTTCGATATCAACCAAGCTCAAGATGAAGCTAAAACTCATGCGTAAGTTCAAGATAAATCTCAAACTCAAGGGGAAGTTCAAATTAAAGATGAAGATGAATTTCAAGCTAAAACTAAAAGAAGAGCTAAAGATAAATTTCAGGCTAAAACTAAAAGAGGAGCTAACAGGGCTGGATTACCCATTAGGCCAGACTAGGCCATGGCCTGGGGCCCCCAATGATTAGGGGCCCCCTTAAAATGGATATTTTGAAAATAAATTTTAAGAAATTAAGAAAAACAATAATTTTTGTTAAGTGCTAATAAATTTCAAATTTTCTCCAAATGTTAGGATTATTTTTTAGTTCTAATTTAACAAAATAAAGTAAAATTTAATTTATTATTATTTATTTTAATTTTAAATATGCTTTCTTAAATGAAAAGATATATAAATACATTTATATTTGAATAAATAAAAAATATACAAGAAAAAAATTTAATCTAAGGACCCCAAAAATTTGAATGGCCTAGAACCCCGCGTACGTTTAATCTGGCCCTGGAAGCTAAAGATAAATTTCAAGCTGAAACTAAAGGTAAAACTCAAGATGAAATTCAAACTGAGGATAAAACTCTGGCTGAACATGGAGCTAAAGATGAAATTCAGTCGGAAACTTAAGCTGATATTCAAGGAGAAGGTGATACTCAAGATAAAAATGAAACTCAAGATGAAGTTGAAATTGAAGCTCTAGATGATTCATTAACTCAAGATGAAGAGAGCTGAATAACATGGAGCTTTAGCTTATATAGAGAATAGCTCATATTAAATTACTTTTGTGTTAAAAATTAACAACTAAGTTCTTATGACCTACTAATAGTGTAGAAGTAGAACAACATAAAAAAAATTACAATGCAATGCTCTTGTCATGAAAAGTATTGCCCTATGTAAATTAATGCATTTTTTGTTAAATTATTAAAAACCTAATGACCTTCAGTTTTTTTTTTCAGTAATAATGAAAAAAATACGCGAAATAGTTTTAAAATAAAGAACAAATCTTGAAAATTCCAGCAAAATCCACAAATGTCAACAAAAACAAAAATGTAAAAAAATCATGATTCTTAAAAAAAAATGTAACAAATTCATGATTCTTAAAAATAAAACTCTTAATAAATATGCTAATGAATACGATGTTTTAAGACCCAACACAATCAGATGTGAAAACGTACGGCCTTAAAATAAACATTCCTCTTTTTTGACCATCAAATATCAAATTATGGGCATTGCTACAATCTGGTCCTAATAATTACGACAGGAAAACGATAGAAAGTTTAAGCCTCTCTCTATTTTTGGAATGGTTTGGATTAGTAAAAAATAACTTTTGCAAAGAATTATAAAACTCGTTTATCTCAACCGCATTAAACCATAATGCATAATTTTTTTTTACATTCTTTCAAGCAATGTAATTTTAAATGGCAAAATCAAAAATTTGATAGAAAGGGCTGTAAAATTGTGAGCAGTCATTTTTTTTTTATTTGACATAAATAATACAATTTCGTAAAAATTTTAAAAATTCATTTCTCAAAACCTGTACCATTCACTTTAACCAAGGTTTGGGATTTTGTCATTTGAGATTACGATTATTTGAATTGTGAGAATTTTTTTTGTTGATTCGCGTGAATGGATGGTTGCCGTGTAAAGCTTAGCGCAGGTGTCTCTAGAGGTTAATATTCGTCATAAGATTTCTAAAGTTATTGTATACTTCCATTTTATCTTTAGGCCTAAGTTTGAAAAAGCGCGCCAGTCAATAATCTATATTCATATACGTGTAGTGTTTACAATATAGCGCGTTCTTTTATTTTGACTTTAAACCTATCTGTTTAATCTCAGCAGAAAACGAATTTGGACAACCTCACTAGGATATTATCCAAAAAATAACAAAAGGTGACATTTTAACAAACATAGCCAAATAGGTGATTTATGTTGTGATATTAGTTTTCCTAGATAAGGCTCATCACCTCTTAAATTTAAAAAAAAAAAAAACTCTGATGAATTACGCTTAAATTGAAACATAAATCACAATAATAAAGCTTCCTTACTTCACACATCGCCTAATAAACATAACATGAGATGGAAGTTTTCCTGTTTTTGGAAGCTTGTTATTGTTTACATTCGGGGTTTAAACTTTTGATCACGCCGTTGACCCTAATTATTCGAACTCAAATTGCGGCTACCCTTCTTATTGATCATTGAATGTCAAAATTTCGCATCCATCAACAACAAAAAAAAAAAGAAAGAAAGAGATATTCACTTTTTTCTCATTTTTTTATTACAGTGTAAACTGATGAAAACAGATTTGAATGAAATTCTTTTTTACGTAAATATTTATCCGAAACAAAGAGATTTATCAAAAATCTAAAAACAAATAAATGTATGCTATTCAACTAACTTTCAAAAACTGCTGATTGAAAAATTGTATTGGTATTATTTCCTCAGAAATATTTATAAATAGAGGATTTAAAATACAACACTCTTTATTTCTCAAATTCTGATTGGGTGACAGTCTAGTATTTTAAATGCATCGAAAGAATCTGCCGAATAAATTTAATATCCACTGTCAGTTTATTTGTGAAAATTAAATAAAAAGGAATAAAAGCATATTTAGTAACTCCCTTCTCGTCTCCACCTTTTCAAAAGTTGAGTTCGGTCAGTTTTTTTGTTTTTTTTTTTTAAGTTTTTTTTTCCTTCTTTTTTTTTATCCTCTCTCCCGCACAATTAAATTCAATTTGGCACTCAGCTCAGGAGAGAGGGTGAACATCAAGTATCCATATGTAGACCAAAACCACAACGTTTAAAACAGTTTCCACCTTCCAACCTTTTTTACTTTTACGCAGGAACTGTCCGATTAGAGCAGTTATCTCTGTGTTCTTTATAGAAACTTTAGTTAAATAGTTTCTCTACCCTTAGAACCCTTAATCCGTGAAAATCCGATTATTAGATGAAAAGTTAATCAGGGTCAATTTTGCTTTAAAATTTAATTATTTTTATTTGATTGTTCATTTTTAACTCAAATTTCTAGGAGAATGACTCATCTATAACATCCTACAATATTTAAATAAAAATAATACTTTTGATTCAGTCAAAGTATTTTATTTATGTTGCACTACAGCTGCACAATGGGCTATAGGCGACTGTCTGGGAAACATCCCTAAGAATGATCCGAAGACCTGACAGCACAAGTTTGATGGTCTGCAGTATGGCTCCCCCGGTTCTGTGGCATGACGACCTGAGCTCGAACACTTTACGGTAGGGCAAATTAACGAGAACCGCACACCCTCGGTCCCTACGCGGGATGATCAAAGTAGTCACCCATCTGCATTCTGAACGCAGCCAGTTATGCTTCATTTCAGTGTTCCACTGGGAACCGTGTCTTTAGGATCAATCCATAGCAGAACTACTTGGTTACAGAGTTTAATTATTCTTTTTAAAATAGTATTTTGTAGGAATTAAGGGGGGAGTGCGCACTGTCGGCATCAAATGATGCTGGACTTGGGTGATCACCCGTGCCTTAAGATGCGATTGGTCTGAGGGACCCATTATTTATTTATTTAATTTTTTAAAAAGAAAAAAAAATGATTCAAAAATTTCGAAATTTTATTTTTGGATCAAATGTGTCTACCATGAGTATGCGTTTACATGAAAGATATTACGTTATGACCCCCCTTTAAGATTTTTGGACCCTGTTTAAAAAATGAAGTCATGATTTAAAAAAATTTCCACCTACCTTTGATGAAATATGGATTTAAATTTCTTAAAATATATATCTTTCCAAGTTTTTTTTTTTCTTTTTTTTTTCTTTTTTTTGTTATCCATTCATTGATTACGACTAAGGCGTTTATTAACTGCACTAATATTTATCCTATTTAGATCAAAACGTTAACAATAGTAGTCCCATCCCACCGTAAAAACCTATCAATTGAAGATCATTATTTTAAGAAAAGTCGAAAAAAGTAGTCAATTTTAGGGATTTGCGAGTTAAGATTGATACTATTAAAGATAGATATATTTTAAAAAGTTATTAAGGTATTAAAACGAGTTAAAGCGTAAACGTTAACAAAATAGTAGTTCCACAGTAAAAAAAATTTTTAAGATAAGTTAAAACAGGGCATTTAAAAAAAAATGATTAATTTATAGTGATTCGTGAATTAAAATAGACGTTATGCTTTTTTTGAAAAAGTTATTCATTAAGATATTACACTATTTAAAAAAATGGTAAATCGTAAACCTTTATAGTAGTCCCCTGCGTAAAAATTTATCGATAAGTATTTTAAGGAAAGTCAAGAAGCGGCATTTGAAAAAAGTGGTTAATTTTTCGGAGATTTGTAAATTAAGATAGATATTATTAAAGATAGATATTGCGCTATTTAAAAAAATAGTAATGGATATATAATACTCTTTAAAAAATACATATATATAATCCTCAACTTTAATAAAATATTTCCTCAGTAAAAATTTACTTTAAGATAAGTCATAAAATGGCATTTGAAAAAAGTAGTTGATTTATAGTATTTGGTGAATTAAGATAAATATTATTATTGATAGATATTATGCAACTTTAAAAAGTTATTAAGATATCATATTTTGAAAAGAGTTAAAGGCGTAAATTTTAACAAAGTAGTGCCACCATAATATCTTATCGATTGGAGAATAATTTTAAAGGATGTCTAAAAAAAAGCATTTGAAAAAAAAAACTTTGTAAAGGTTTGTGAATGAAGATAGATCTATTTTAAAATTGTATTATTTAAGATATTGTGCTATTTAAAAAAAGAAGAGTTAAGAAACTTTTTTTTTTTAATTTAGCTTAGACTATAAAAATCCTTTTATTTATTTCTACAAAGTTGCGAAAAAGTGCCTTCCGAAAAAGAAAAAAAAACTCCCCATCTTCCAAAAATAACCTCCTTATCGCAACCATCCCTTTAGTCAAACTAATATTATGATCCGCTGAGTGAAGATTCCGGTTTTTTTTTTTCTTTTTTTTTTTTCTTGTAATTTATTATATTTGAAGGAGAAAAATACAAAAGATGAATGTGCTTGGGATGTACAATTTAAACGAAATACTTTCTATCAAGCATTTAGCCTCAGATAATATAATACCATAAAAATAGGTTCTCAAATCGCTAAAAAATTGCCAATAAAAATGGAGTTAGTTTCTGTTTCGTGCTATTTATTTTTATTACAAGCTTACAGTTTTTGTTTCAGGTAAAGCTCAAAATTCGCGTTTATGAAAATAGACGCCGAAATGCTTGGTTTGAAATATTAGACGCGGCTTGAAATACGCGTTTAAAAAAATGAGGTAAGATAAGGTTGTTAGAGACTAGCTTATGTAAAAAAAAAAAAAAAAAAAAAAAAAAAAAAAATGCTAAGAAACGGAAATTTAATGATTGTTTTTATGATTAAAGGAACAAATCCCCAAAATCACCCTTCTTAAGACGAAAAAAAGAAATTGGTTCGAAAATTATAAAATAAAATCACCGTTCTTGAGCGGCAGTGGCTTAGGGAATAGAGCGTCCTCAGCCAGTGAGGTGACCCAGGTTTGAATCCCAGCTGCGGCTGATTGATATGCTAAGAATGGTTAGATGGTTAAAGCATAAAGGCCCAGGAATCTCAGAGGGGGCTGGTTGGTACGAATTTTTCCTCCGGCTTTAGAAACCACAGTGCTAACGTAAAATATCCTCAGTGGTAAACGGATCATGGGTTAGAATCCTCTTGCTGTCTGGCTAACCGTGGAAGTTTTTCGTGGTTTTCTTTTCCATGTAGCGCAAATGCGGGTTAGTTCTATCAAAAAATCTTCTAATTAGGCTAGTTTCTCCTAATGCTCGATCCCAGTGTTACTTTGACTTCTGGGTGGGGTTCCAAATTACAAGGCTACGGAGACGAACATTGATAGTTGTAAACTCAACATTGGGTAGATTGTATAACACCAGTTATAAAATAAAATAAAACCAACCTTCTTGAATGAAATGTTTATGCTTTAACTATTTCTAAATTTAATTGTTAAACTATTCCCATTCCAAATTCAATTCATAAGCGTAATTGACTTAAAAGTCATGAAAATAAGGTGACACAATTAAAAAATTATCGTATCTTAACTCCAAAAATGGCGGCAACTAATTTACTTCAAAATGGTGTAGAACTATGAATAGTTCATAGTGAAGTGAAGACACCAAAAATGTTCTTTACACTACTTGGTTTAAAGTAGCAAACATAATTTTCAGTATTTAGTTACATTGATAGTTATATTTATAGTAAGATAACATAAACATGAGAACATATTACTTTTACGACACAATATAAAGTAAAATTAAGAATGCGTGTATAAACTAAATCTTAAAATAAAATTAGTTTATAAATCAAACAAGGCAATTATGTCTTATAAAATTATATAATGCAGTTTACAGAGACTCATTATAAAACTAAATACAAACATATTTTAACAGCGAACATTTGATTCAGTAAATGTATAGGAGCATTGAAGACAACAAACTCTCACCCACTTGTATTCAAATGTAAACAATCTATAGACAATATTAAAAGTGCGCCAACATTGGAGAAGCGAAAATGGATGGTTGCGAAAGCACGTGATTTTGGTGTTCCCATTATATGAGTTTTAGGTTTATTTATACCTTTTAAATTGTGTATGAAAGTTAGCTTGAAAAAAAGTGTTCTTTCACACAATTTCTTTTGTTTGTTCAGCATCAAACTCGGAGAAATAGTACAACACAGTTTTTACAGTAAAGAAAACAGTTGTAAAACACTGGCATTTTTGAACCTTCAACTCAACTGCTATATCTAACTTTTCATAAATTTCGATCAAGTAGTTTTGATTTCAGCGATTATTCCATTCTGAGAAATCTGATGAAATTAAGTGGA